GCGTCGAGGATCATGAACGATCCTGAAGGGGTGAATGCCTTCGGAGGTATGAAAGGAGCACCCGTTCCCACCTTTGTTCTTCAGTGTTGTGTCGGTTTCGCATTCTGAACAATGTGAACGATCCTGAAGGGGTGAATGCCCTTAAGGCCTGAAACCCCCCCCTCCACCTTATGGGTCTCACTATTAAGCTTGAGGATTGTGAACGATCCTGAAGGGGTGAATGCCCTGAAGGCCTGAAAGCACCCCCCGCCACCGTATGACTCCCACTATTAAGCTTRAGGATCCCGAACGATCATGAAAGGGTGAATGCCCTGAAGGCCTGAAAGCACCCGTCCCCACCTTCTGGTTTCAAGTGTCGTGTTGTTTTGGCATCCTGAACAATGTGAACGATCATAAAGGGGTGAATGCCCTGAAGGCTTGAAAGAACCCCCTCCCACYCTATGACTCCTACTGTTAAGTTTGAGGATCCTTAACGATCCTGAAGGGGTGAATGCCCTGAAGGCCTGAAAGAACCTCCCCCCCACCCTATGACCCCCACTGTTACATTGAAGATCCTGAAAGATCCTGAAGAGGTGAATGCCTTGAAGGCCTGAAAGCACCCCCTCCACCTTATGGCTCCTACTGTTAAGCTTGAGGATTGTGAACGATCCTGAAGAGGTGAATGCCCTGAAGGCCTGAAAGCACCCCCCCCCACCGTATGACTCTCACTGTTAAGGTTGAGGATCCCGAACGATCCTGAAGGGAAGAATGCCTTCAAGGCCTGAAATCCCCCCCCCCACCGTATGGCTCCCACTGTCAAGCTCGAGGATCCTAAACGATTCTGAAGGGGTGAATGCCCTGAAGGTGAATGTCTTCGGAGGTCTGAAAGGAGCACCCGTCCCCACCTTCTGGTTTTTTGTGTTGTGTCGTTTTGGCATCCTGAACAATGTAAACGATCCTTGAATGCCCTGAAGGCCTGAAAGAACCCCTTCCCACCCCATGACTCGTAATGTTAAGCTTGAGGATCCTGAACGATCCTGAAGGGGTGAATGCCCTGAAGGCCTGAAAGAACCCCCCCCCACCCTATGGGTCCCACTGTTAAGCTTGAGGATCCTGAACGATCATGAAGGGGTGAATGCCCTGAAGGCCTGAAAGCGTCCCCCCCACCATATGGCTCCCACTGTTAAGCTTGAGGATCCCGAATGATCCTTAAGGGGTGAATGCACACCTCCCCACCGTATGACTCCCACTGTACAGCTTTATAGACATCCTGAATTCACCTCTTTAGACATCCTGAAAACAAGACATGTTGTTAACCTTTTCTCCTCGTTTCGACATTGCTACCATTAATACAAATCCATTTTCATCGCATCAAGTGTTTTCATCCTCATTCCCGATGACGTCTGTGCATCAATTTTTCAGTATAGGCAACTACTCTTATATCACATTTGGTAAGTTTCATGTGTCGGTTCATTTTTATCGCATCAAGTGTTTTCATCCCCATTCCCGATAATGTTTGTACGTCCATTTTTCGGTTTAAGCAATTATTCCTATACAACATTCGGTAATTTTCATGTGTCACAGAGGGTGTCTACCAAGTAAGTACATCTGCTTTGTTTAAATTAGTATCAGAGATGAGCAAGTTGCTCACATATCAATTCGGCTTCACCACGTTTTTGAGACATTCGGCGGAACAATTGCTATTTAATATTCCTTGCATCATTTTGTGTCTCGCTTCCCTGTTCTAAAAGGTTACAAACTCATGGATAAAATCTTTATACGAAGCTTAATTGAAAGGAATGGACTTACAAGAAAGTTGGCCGGTTAAACCGCCTCTCCCACCGACGTCAAAAACCTCGGGGAATAGGTAGCACCGTGTCACGAGTGATACTGATAGCATAGTGTGGAAAACAAGTTGCATGACAACAGCGAAAACTTCATCAAAATGTCCCCCCATGATTTATGTTGCAGACAAAATGATTATTTTTATTTTTTTTAATATTTTACATGAAAAAATCAAAACAAACTCTGTGGGCCCTAAAATTTTCAGGTTTTCACATTATTATTATGAGCATGAAAAATTACAGAAGTTAGGGTACTTTTTATGTTGGTCCATATATGGTAGAATGACAAAAATGAAAACATGCCGAATCGGGGCAGTGATTATTTTATCTTAAATATAATGTTTTGTATCTTTTTGACATTTTTTCATGAAAGATCACAACCTAATTCACGGATGCTCAAATTTTCATATTTTATTTTTAAATTTGTCTGAGCACGAAAAATCGTCAAAGTTGCCGCTTTCAAAATTTGAGATTGGACGTACCGGTGCCGAGCGGTCGCCGCCTATCAGTAAAAACTCACCCTAACTCACAAGTATGTGGGTTTTCAGTTGTTAGGGGGAGGGGCGGTTTAAAGGTTGAAGTATTGCAGATCTATAAATACTGCAACAATATTGAGCATGCATGACAATAATACCAATTTTGTTCATCCATTGGCTTATTATAAGGGCACTCATATATATATGGCCAGTGGAGAGGGAGGGCAGACACATCAACATGCCTTAGGCCCTATAAATAGTGTATTTGAAAGAAAAAAAAAAATGTACTCCTTATTCGAGAGAAAGTTAAATAACGTTCTGCCATATCCTCCCACGATTGAACATAGCACAATTGTGCAAAAAAAAAATAAAACCTTGTGTTTGGTATACATTTCGATACCATGAGGGGAGGAGTGGGGGAGGGGGGGGGGAAACTCCCCTTTCCCACACTTAATATGACTTAGCACGTATAAACATAGTAGGAAAAAAAAATGTGTTTGGTTTACATTCCCATTCCCGGGGGGCGAGGAGACTGCCCAACATTTGGACATGACCTATGACCTATAAACATGGCATAAGAAAAAAATAAAATTTTATTATTTATATTTGTGAGACAGTTAAATAGCCTACTACTATATTTCCCCACGCTTGATCATAACACACAGTTGTGCAACCTAAAAAAACACGAATTATGTTTGATATACTTTCCGATACTATGGTGTGTGGGGGGGAGGAGGGTCACCTCACATTTGAACATGACTTAGCACCTACAAACATGACATTAAAAAAGTATAAAATTGTATTCCTTATCCGTGAAACAGTTAAACAGCCTATTGCTCTATTTCCCACGCCTGAACATAACAAACAATTATGCAGCCGAAAAACAACAAATTGTGTTTGGTATACATTCTGATACAGTGGGGGGGGAGGGGTTGGGGGGGAAAAGGGAAGACCCTCGCTTTTCCCACATTTGAACATGACTTAACACCTATAAACGTAGTATAAAAAAAAAAAAAAATATTATTATTATATTTTTTTAGACCCTTCTGCAAGGCCTCTATCCCGATGGTCGTAAGAGAACCACTGGAATTGAGGCTTTGCCTGTCGGGCTGCTCCATTTTTTGGAGGGTGCGACACCTGCTGGAAATCGGGTCCAGCATCATTTTGATGCATCATCTAAGCACAATGCTTGTCGGGACTATGGCCATATTAGTTCCTAGCCTGAAGCACTGTTAAACAACCTAGTGCTACAGACACCCTCGTCTCAACACAATGGACAATTATGCATCCAAAAGACAAATAAAAAAACAAATAGATAGTTATTGTACATAGCATAAGAAAGAACAAATTGTAGGGGGGACTCTCCCACACTTTAACATGGAGCACATACTGTAGGCGACCCCTTGAAAAACCCCTGAACTCGGGGCTGTCATTCACCGGTTCATGGGTGTGCCCCCTTTTCTGCCCCTAAGCTCTCGTCTAAAAGGGACTCTCTATGAACTGACTCTCTATGAATTGGCATAGCTCAGTTGGTACACCCATGAACTGCTGAATAACAAAATGGGCGTAGCTTCATTGATACACGCATGAATTGCTGAATAACATACCAGAGTTCGAATCCTGATGGACCTAGATGTATGCAATCAAATAGTCAATGACCTCACAAAACATAAGCAGTCAGGCAACGGAACCTCACACTGGGCAGTGGGGGCATAACCAAAAGCAAAATATAACCAAAAGCGAAAGGTGTAATACTTACTGGCAGTGCTTACTAAACATACCAATAGTATGGGGTGGGTGGGTGGGGTGGGCGGTGAGCGAACCCCCTTCCCCCCACAACGAAACATGGCTTTCCTTGTGCAGTCCAGAAACATAGCATGACACAAAGAAAAGTATTACCGTGGCTGTGTCCGGGGTCCTGAAACACTCGAAAGCACCCTCAGACACCCCTCCCAACGCCGCGCAAACAACCCGCAATGCACCAGACACCAACGCGAATTTACAGAGATGCTCAAAAGCACCCTCCAGGCTGGGCCACCGCGCTTGTCGTGGTATAACAGTGGGTCTCGCAATGGTCTCGCCGCACGACTCACCAAATGTACGAAGTGAGAACGAATCTTCCCCTAGAACATAGAAAGATGCACCACCATAGTGCGGTGAGGCCCAATATCTCGCGTGCAGCCAGGTAGGGCCCTATGTTCGGGAAAAGGAAAACCAAGCTCTTGGCCGAACGAAAACACCCTCCAACGTAGCGTGGATGTGTTCATGGACGGCGGGTTTGTAAATGTGACTGCGCCGGCTTTGTATGTAAATGTGACTGCGCGGTATCATCCACAACGGACAGAAGGCAAGAGGGCCAACACAAATCTGCAACGCGCAGGTGCGAACAAGTAACCCGCAAGGGTCCAAGAATTCCGCCGTCGTAGATATTCGATTTTGGACCGTCGGATGTGATTGTAATTCGTAAGGTTCTTCCGCTCCCACCACCTGAAAACCGCCCCGGTTCGGGCCTTTCACACAATCGCATTTGTGCCTCACTGTCTGTCAATCGTGCTGAGCGGCGCGCTCAAGCCAGTGTGCGGACTGGACTCCTTGCGGACGAGGGTAGAGCTTCGCGGCGGCGGTTTTTGATTCAACTGGAGGAAAGGGTCATTTTTATGAGCTGGCCAAGTCACTTGAAGGATCTCGTGATCGTTGGCGGCGAGGAGCAGCGAACGGTTTATCTGCTGTTTCCATCGGTTTCGCTGTCGACCGCCCCACGTCTTTGGAGTCGGCATTCCGAGGCCGGCGTTAGCTATTGTATTCCCGCCGAAGAGCGAGTGTTTGGTCTCGGCAGCGCGGAGTGAGGGAAAGTAGCCCGCCATTCCTCCGCTGGCTCTCGCCACGAGAACGGACGTCGGTTATAGTGCGGTGTTCTCGTGGCCGGCGACAACGGCATCGCGGTAGTGCCTTGTAGTCTCTGTCTGGAGAGGGAGGGTTGTTGCTGCATCTTCGCAGCGCTAGGGAAGTGACGATCACTTTCTCAGTCTAGTTTCTGTGGTTTTCGGGCGAAATGGGAGAAGCTAAGGATGCCGCTGATACCTACCAGGAGGAGCTCTTGGATTACGAGGAGGATGACGTCGCAGCCAACGACGCACCAGCCGCGAAGGGAACGGAGGCGGTGAAGAAGTGAGTGTCCTTATTCTCACATACGGTGTCGTATTATTAGGGTTTTCTCCTTTCTCTGTTTTTCATGTCCTGCTTCCAACGCGGAAGGGTTAATTGGCGGCTGTATCGGCTTTCGCTACACTACATTCACCGCACCTCGCGAAGTACGTCCTGTGGTGTCTGCTAAAGGCTGTGAGCTGCGTATTCTGGTTTCAAGTTTGGTAATTGTCTTTCCGTTTTGTCGTTTTGCAGGGGTTACGTAGGTATTCACAGCTCGGGGTTCAGAGATTTCCTTCTTAAGCCTGAATTACTCCGTGCGATTGTCGACTGCGGTTTTGAGCATCCCTCGGAAGGTACGGCTTTAAGCAACTGTGGCTGTGTTTTCGCTTGTTCTCTAGAAAGCACGTCTGGTGGGTGCTGACCTAAATTTGATGTTGTTTATAATATGTGCACTTTGCGTCTATGGTGCGATGAATTATATATCTGCAATCCTGGACCATGATTATTAATCTCTACGGATAGATAACGAGTGAACGACGGGTCAGAAAGTTGTCGAGGAGTGGGTGTAAGAACGGAGCCGTTGGATTTTCAGTCTAGGTGAGCTTATTGGGGATGGTGGGCGAGATTACGTAAACTTGTTGAAGGAGAACTAGGGCGGTGGAGGGTTGTTAGTCGACGTGAACTCTGGACGGAGAATTGTATCTGGGTCATATCTTGTCTTGGGTGTTGTAATGTGTCCGGATGTGAATGAGGTGGCACTATGTGCTTGGACACTTCTGTGGTCCCTTCAACTAGGTAGTTTTGTCGTGGTTCATTTCATGTATAGAGCGATGTAAGTTGTACGGACGTGAATATGTCGTTTGCTTGGAGACCACTGTTGTCACCCGAATTGAAAGCATGCTGTCATTCTGTACGGGGGAGTCGTCGTTTTAAGTCAGTGATAGTGACCGTTCCTTCTATTCAGGTGAAGACTAGGTATTGAGAGCTAACTCCCTGGTGAGGTTAGGGTTTTTGTGAGTTATTGCGCTGTCGCTAGGATTTAGGGATTTGTGCTGCTCAACGGACGAGGACCGGAGCTTGGTTGGTACGCTGTTTTCAGTTGATTACTCGAGTGAAGTCTTGAGTAGCTGTTATTGTCTTGCACGTCGAAGATGTTGGGGGACAGGGCATTGGCCGTGGACCGGAGCATGGTTGGGTACGCTGTTTACAGTCGATTAATAGTGAAGTCTTTACAGCTATTACTGTCTTACTCGTCGAAGATGTCGAGGGACAGGTTATTGTGAACGTGGAAAACACGTTTCGTGGAAGATGTCGAGGGACAGAGGCCATTGTGAACTTGAAGAAAACCTTTGTCATTGAACCTTTCTCTCTGAATTCGAGGTGGAAGTTCTCCTGTAGCCACACCCATGATAGATGTTTTGCTTTTAGACTGTAAATGGCGGTATTCCGTGAAATGTTTAGGAAATTGGATGTTTCTTTGAACGCGTTGTATTAATTGTTTTATTGTTGTTATTTGCTGTCTCTCAGTTCAACACGAATGCATTCCTCAGGCGATTTTGGGCATGGACGTCATTTGCCAGGCAAAGTCCGGTATGGGAAAGACTGCAGTCTTTGTCTTGTCCTCTCTACAACAAATTGAGCCTGTTGCGGGACAGGTGTCGGCGCTGATCCTTTGTCACACTCGAGAATTGGCCTATCAGGTTTGTGATCATTCAGCTCTTTTTCGCTTAAGATAGTCGACAGTAAAATCCCTCCATTTGTTTTGGTGGAGGCGAGACAGGTAGCTGCAGTAAATTGCTGGTTTGCTGGAAGCAGCGATGTGTTCTGGAATCACTTTCGGCGTTGGTTCGAATTAGAGAGGTGGATGTCCTTGGGAGGAGTGTGGGTTGAAGACGCTGTGCTATCTACTCTGCTATCCATGATATCGACCCTCACGGAACTTTCAGCATGTCGTGGTCGAGCGGTCCTGCAGACGGTAGATGTGTCAAGTGTCTCTGTGGCCCCGGAAAATGGGTATGGTTATTGCAGTAGCCGTCTAACTCGTCACGTTCGGTGTTAAAAGTCTTTCGCTCCACGAGTGGTTGGTATTGATTTGTGCTATGACTGAAATGTATAGAAGCGAGGTATAAATCTGTTCAGAGGGTTTGGTATTGAGGAGTGATTGATGCCGACGTTTCGAGCTAGGTTATATTGTTATGTTAGTGTTTGTGGAGGCTTTAAGGTGCTTATTAATCAAATATCTTGAGACGTTGTTGTCATGTTATACTCTTTGTGGAGGCTTTAAGGTGTGCCTATTAATCAAATGTCTTGAGACGAAGTGAAATTCTCGTTTGCGGGCGTAGTTTCAACTCGTGCTTCTTTAATGGGGAAAAAAATCATTACCGACTAGTACCGATGTTTTGACCGAGGCTTTCGCATTTACTTGTCATAATTTGTGGAGACTTTGCGGTGCTTAACTCGCGAATTGTTTTTCCTGCAATGAACAGATTTGTCATGAGTTTGAGAGGTTCAGTACCTACTTGCCGGATATCAAGGTGGCGGTATTTTATGGAGGGGTGAATATCAAGACCCACAAGGATCTTTTGAAGAACGATTCTCCGCATATCGTTGTCGGGACCCCCGGACGCATTCTTGCCCTGGCGAGGGAGAAGGACCTGAACCTGAAAAGTTGCAGGCATTTCATTCTTGACGAGTGCGACAAGATGCTCGAGTCGTTAGGTATGTTTTTTTTCCCCATTTTGTGCGTACTAGCAGTTCCACCGTTTCGTCGACTGTGGCGGCTAAATATTTCCATCCGGTCTTCTAGGGAGTTACGTGCGCTTGACCGAAACACACCCTTCGTATGCGCGAACGGTTCTTTCTTTTGGTGTTAATTGTGGCATTTCCATCTCGTTTTGGTATTTTGGTGTTTTGGTATTTTGGTGCATGTACGTTTGCCTGATGGAAACGTCCGAGTATATGAATGAATGTGTTCGCTATCTGGAGTGGTCTTTGCTGGTCGAGGTTTTGGTGCTGCACAGGCAATCGAGTTCTTGAGGGTGTAAAGTCTCGTTTTGTTGGTCGAGGTTTGGTGCTGCACAGATAATTCTTGAGTCCGTAGAATCTGTCGTGAGAACGACTGACCTGCGAAAACGTGAGGATAGTAAGATGCCGGCGTTTTTTTATGTACGATAGTTCTGAGAACTTCGTGGCCGAGGTTCGGGGCTCTGCAAAGATAACCGAGATTGTTAGGGTGGAACGTCTGTTCTTTACTTGTGGACTCCAAAGTCGGGAGAATGGCTGACATGTGAAATGAACTTATGACGAGTATTGTGGAAGTCTCTGTGAAATAGAATTATGACGAGAATATGGTATAAGTCTTATTTGCGGTATTTCTTAAAATTGTGTTTTTGTGTGATGTTGTCACTCTTCAGATATGAGACGAGATGTGCAAGAAATTTTCAAGCTGACGCCGCATGACAAGCAAGTGATGATGTTTTCGGCAACGCTGAGCAAGGACATTCGACCAGTCTGCAAGAAGTTCATGCAAGAAGTAATACCCCCTGGCCGAAACACCCCCCCCCGCTTTTGCAGATACCTTGACTTGTGGCCGTGGCGACGGCGGCACATATATGGCGCTCTCTCAGGCGGTTTGGCTGTGCTACTAAGAAGAGGAAGTTACCAGTGAACTCGTTAATTATAGGATGGATGGAGGGTTTGATGAACAAGTACGCAAGGAAGGAACATTACGGAAGAAAGTACCACGCGTGTGATAGCTTGTGTTGGTGTCGCGCTGCGCGATTGCTGTCTCGTCTTCGAATGGTGTGCGTGTGGGATAGGAGGGCGGGGTCGGGGGGGGGTCGGGGGAAAAGGGCGAGGGTCTGGGTTGAAAGTTGGGCCGGGGAAATCACTCTGTAGTTGGGGTTCGATCTGTCGGGGCCCGGGAAGTGCTTGCTGACGAACGGTGCGGCGTGCGGGTTAGGTTGAAGTCCATGCTCTTTGATCCTGGAACGGTTTTGGATTTCTCAATCTGCGTTAGGGTCTACGATCTGGAACGGTTGGATTTCGCGTGTTCATGAAGGGGAAGAGAAGACTGGCTTGGGCGTGACTTCACGCGTGTGCTGCCTGGGACATCCAGTTTCGGTGAGAGATGTGGAACACACAATATGAACGCTTGCATTGGCGGGTCGGTTCATGCATCGGAGTGGTTGCAGTGGATACTGGTCAATGTGGACGTCGGGGGGAGACGGGAGAGGGAGAATGGAAGTGGAATGCCACCAGGGGTTGCGTGGTGCTTGTGGTGGGTCTGTCCTCCCTCGGGCTCTCCTTTTGTCGACTTGACGGCTGGGAGTGGCCTGGGCTCAAGCGTTTGGCAAGCAGTTCTCGACACCTCGAGAGGGGAACACGAAGGATTTCTCATGTCTTGTGTCACGCACTGGTGGGGCGCTGGATTGTGAAGAGACCGGGAAGGGGAGGGCATGCAACCTGCCCACGGGTGTCGCTCATCGGAACTGTAATCCGGCCTCCCATAAAATATCTTGCCTAATGTTTTCCTCTTTTCTTTTTGTGAAAACTGTGAGTGATCGGTGTGTGCTTTTTCCTCTATGAGATCTGCATGCTCTCGAGTCCGTGGGGGTTCAATTGCCCAGTGAACCTGATGACAGTTGGGTGTCGGTATAAAAATTGCTGCGTTCGTTCCGGTGCCCCATCAATGTGCAGTGCCTCTCTCGCCTGGGGGTGTGGGCATGCAATTGCTATCAAGGGAAAGCCAAGCCGTCAAAATGGAGAAATGGAGAAGATAATGATAATGTGGGAAAGCGGACGAACTGTTAGATTCACTGCGGTGTCATGGAATTAGGGATTAACCGTGAACTGAACTCGATGTGCTGCATGTGTATATGCGTTCGACTGCACTTGTGGAATGCTTTGTTCTCTTCGTGGTGTGTTTGGTACCACGATTTGTTGTTCAAGCTTCGGGTAAAGCATTGAATGATTGTCTCATCCGGGGAGGAGCCGTCGAGTATACGGCTGCCATTTAATGCAACGGAGGGGACTGAACGAGTTGTACGTGGTCTCAGTTTGTCTCGTGCATACGTTCGTGATGAGCTATTTAGCTGTTAGAGACAGGCAGTCAAGAATGACCGCTGCCGTCTGAAGGAAAAGCATCTTTTCTGCTCTCTCGTAGCAAATCTCTTGGTGTGTGATGTGGTTCGCTTGGGATGTATCGCTCGCTATGATGGTATGACGTATGGAGGATGTGCTTGTCATTCTATGGAAACCCGTAGAATGCAGTGTTCTGACGCGTGTTTGTTGAAAATTTGCTGGCAGCCTATGGAGATTTACGTCGATGACGAAGCGAAGCTGACTCTTCACGGTCTTGTTCAGGTATGTCTATGTGAAGTACTTATCTTCGTGGTAGGGAAGATGGGTTATGCTTATCTTTATTATTTGTTAAGTGACGTTTTGTTGTCCTGTTGTTGCCACAGGGAGTTCTTACCCGCATGCCCCGTAGTTTGTAGTTCGGGCTTTTATTTGCGCTGAAGAAATGCTTTTTGTTCGTTTGTCTGGAGAAGTGTCTGGTGAGGTCGGTTTGCGTATGTCGAGGAATGAAGGCGTCTGCAAACTTACGGTAGTGCGTGTGCAGGAGTTACGTTCGTCTGCCCACGAGTATTCACACTGTTTAATGCATGTCATTTCCGATGTTAATTTTTTGTTATTAGATCGAGTAAAAACCATAGGAAAGTGAGTTGTTCGTGGTCGAGCTAAGGGCGCTAACGGTATAACGTTCGTTGTATTATGACCTAACTAAAGGTGGGTAGTTCGTGTAGAAATGAGGTGGAACCGGGCCGAGGTCTTGTGTGGGTTTTGTGATTGCCTTAATGATCGTGGTGTTCTATTTTAGGAGCCTACTTTCTCTTGAAGTTTGGTCTCTGAAGCTTTTATGGCTTGCACTCGTTATTGGGAGAGGTGGTTTTGTCAGCTTGGGCTACGGATTGTGGTCATTTTCATTTGCATAGGCTGTTCTGTTTGAAGCCATGTTTTTGAGCTCATTGTGAGATCTTTGGCCGTTGGTGTTTTTATTGTTTACGCGTTCGTCGCTCTGTGTTGCAGCGTTCGTCGCTTGTGGTGACTGACTTCAGTTTTTGACTTGACCTTGAATCCGTTTTGCAGCATTACATCAAGCTTAGCGAAGTTGAGAAGAACCGCAAGTTGAACGATTTGCTGGATGCGCTCGACTTCAATCAGGTGGTTATTTTCGTGAAGTCAGTGAGCAGAGCCTCTGAACTCAACAAACTGCTTGTGGAGTGCAATTTCCCGTCGATATGCATCCACTCCGGTATGGCGCAGGAAGAAAGGTACGCATAAATTGCCGATGACCTGTAGCAACCGTGTTGTTGATGCTTTTTGGGAGGGTTTTCTTAACAAGTTTCTCCAGAGCACTGAATGCGAAGCGCGTTTATGCATGGAGTGCTTTGAGTGGGCTTATCCAATCTGCGGCCTTGTGCTGGGTGCGAGCGTTCGTTAATGTTTCACGACGTTGCAAAGCAGTGGGCACTTCCTATTCGCTCGTATGTCCATTTAATATCTCGCATTTATTATGTTGGCTAGAAGGTTTTTGTAATATTTCTGAGCTGTGCTTGTTCTTTATGCCATGGTTTCTTTTTGTCGTCGATCTTGATTGGGCTTTTGTCTCGTGTCTTGTCCTGTAAGCCAGGTGCTGACGATTAATCGACTCCTTGTTTCCTTGTGTAGGTTAACGAGGTATAAGAGTTTCAAGGAAGGGCACAAGAGAATACTCGTGGCGACGGATCTCGTTGGACGTGGTATCGATATTGAGAGGGTTAATATCGTGATCAACTACGATATGCCCGACTCGCCGGACACGTATCTTCACAGGGTAAGTGTCTTTCAGCAATTAGTTGGGCTTTTGTGTTTAGATGCGCTGGTATTCCGCTTCTGTACGTTGGCTCGGAATGCACGACGTTGGCATGGGGTGTGATTACGTGTGCACTTCTTCCATGTGCTCTCTCGGAACTATGTTGAAGCTAGTGTTGCTTTCTCGAATCAATCTTGACGTTACTGCATGTGAATCCTTTCTGTGCGAGAGCGTAAAGCGTTTCTTGGAACGCGAGGTTAGGGACGGTTGTCTTTGTTCTGCGAGATAATGCGTAATGCCTGTCTAAGGTCGTGTAGAGTGTGGTTTGCATTATGACTGTGACAAGTGTGTTTTGACGGCGTGCAGAAGTTTTTAGGAAGTCTGTTCTGCACAATGTCTTCCGAAGTCTGTGTGACGTGTGTTTTGCAATGCCTTCAGATCTGTGAGAACGTTTGCACAATGCCTGTTTAACAAGTCTTTGAGATTTGCGTTTTGCACAATGCCTGGTTAACAACTCTTTGAGCTGTGCGTATTGACGCCGTCGCTACCTGCAGCCCCCAAAATTTCTAGTAGCCTACCAGTCAGCATGCTGTGCCTGCCTTCGGTAAAATACATTGGCCGCGTCCGTGCGTAAAAGACGTGCTGCAGGTAGTGGGGGTTTAAGTTAAGATGGTTCTCCAGGAAATAAACGTGTGCTGTTATTGCGTCATCTGTTTTCAACAGGTTGGCCGAGCCGGAAGATTTGGAACGAAAGGTCTGGCCATTACATTCGTTGCTTCGTCTGGCGATTCTGACATTTTGAACAAGGTGAGTCGGTCGAACCAAGGAGCGTATGCTTCGCTTGCAAGTGCACAATGCGAGTCTGTGTCAGGCTATTAGCACGACGGCGGTTTCTGCATTGTCGAAGTCGATGGTACTTTCGGTTTCTGTTGCACTTTAGTATCCTGTTTCATATCTTTCGTTCTCGTTGTGATCCTTTCGACTTCATTATTATCCTGTTTCACACAATTTCTGTGGTCGTGAATTGGAATTTTCATTCCCGTTGTGATCGTTGTGATCCCTCCGACTTGATTTGTAACGGTTTGGAATTGACGGTTCTTGCTTCAATTTTTGCCGTGCAGGTTCAGGAAAGGTTTGAAGTTGACATCAAGGAACTGCCGGAGCAGATTGATACGTCGACCTACAGTAAGTATTTCGTGTTTTTGTTATAATTTTGTTTTTCATTTGGGTCGTTTTCGGACGTTGATTGGTGACTTGAGATGCGGTCATTGGGGGTAGTGGGCTGCTTGTCGTCATTGTTGTCGATGTTCCTGATGTGTTTTGTCCGCGTTTGTTATGTGTTTGTTTCGTTTTTCTTTGCGGCCAACGATTTCGATGTACTGTCGGTGAGATGGCTAGCAGTATGGAATGCATGTCGGTTAGTGATGAAGGAATATGTAGTTTTCTGTTGTTATCTAGAAAGCCGATTTCTGATTGGGGGTAGTGGGCTGCTTGTCGTCATTTTTGTCGATGCTCGTGCTGTGTTTCTGTCCGCGTTTGCTATCTTTTTGTTTCGTTTTTCTTTGCGTCCAGCGATTTCGATGTACTTCGGTGAGATGACTAGCAGTATGGATTGCATGTCGGTTAGTGATTAAGGAATATGTCGTTTTCTGTTGTGATCGAGAAAGCCGATTTCTGATTGGGGGTAGTGGGCTGCTTGTCGTCATTTTTGTCGATATTCCTGCTGCGTTATCTGTTTGTTTCGTTTTTCTTTGCGGCCAACGCTTTCGATCTACTTTCGGTGAGATGGCTAGCAGTATGGAATGCATGTCGGTCAGTGATGGAGGAATATGTCGTTTTCTGTTGTGATCGAGAAAGCCGATATCTGACTGCACGGGTGTGTGCTTTTTGGTGGTGTTTGTGATTGCAGTGCCATCGTGTGGCGCATGTTCGTTCCTGATTTCTGACTGCACGGGTGTGTGCTTTTTGATGGTGTTTGTGTTTGCAGTGCCATCGTGAGGCGCATGTTAATTCCTGAAATTGCTGGGCTAGATTCTGCCGTAGAGATGAAGGAGAGCTGGGATCTTCTTTCGGAACCTAGTTCTCGCCGGCGTACTGTAGAGGGCGCTCATGCCGGCGACTATCTCACGCGGGTTCTGTAATTGTGTCGTTGTTCTTCTTTAGAAAACGAGGTTTTCGTTCCGTTTCGGTTCAATTTTGGAGTATGGTGTGAGGAGGTGAAGGTGGGGAAGGTGGTGAGCCCGTTGGAGGCTGAAGAGACGGTAGGTGATGGGAGGCTGAAGAGACGGTAGGTGTGAGGCTGAAGAGACGGTAGGTGATGGGAATGCCCGGAGCTTTGCCGGCTACATGCATGTTATGTTCCCGTCGTAATGGCCGAACCTTGCTCGGTCCGGTCCCAACTGACTCTGCTTGCACGCTGCTTGGCCTTGTCAAAGGATGGGAGAAAACGTGAGGATTTAACGACCTTGTAAGACGATGAGTGAGACGTGGTAAGGATGAAGTATCGTTATGACGGCCTTTTTTCATAGGTAGGAACACTCGAAATCTCTGCGTTTATGCGCGCCAGTAGATTAGTATCTGTCCCGTTCGCATGGACTTCAGATTTGAGTTGTTAGTGGTAAGATGTATCTAGCGCGCTCATATTTTATGGACTGAAGTGACGTAAGAACTGCCCTGCCTTGAGGGAGCTGTTCAGATTGTGCATATCTAGAATCATCGTGGAATTCTCCATTTGAAGTCAGCACCTTTTTGGGCAGCTGGTTACGGTCGCTGGAGACGTAGAGTCCGAATCGCTGCGACAATGAGCGTGGGGTCTTTTCTACCACATCAACTGTTCTCTGTGCGCGTGGCGGTGGAGTTCAGGACGTGAGTTGGAAGCATGGGGCCATGAGACGATCAGGCCAAGACGGGGAGTGCAGATTGCAACGTGACATCGTTCGAGCAGAGGAGGCTTCTTGACAGGTGAAAGCTATGGCTCCGGTGCGAATCGACATCCGCGCATGAAAGCAGCTTAGGGAAAAGCGCATGAGGCCTGCAGTGCCGCACGAAAAACTGCGACGTTGTATGGATAGCAGAGGAGGGGATATTTTGAAGTTAAATGGCCTAGGCGAGGAATCTTTTTCCGCTCCCCTGGTTAAGTGGAAACTAGACTAGGTTTACGGGCGACATAAATGGGTGCGGGGAAATTTAGGGCTGGCATGAAGTGATCCTAAACACATTTGAATGTATCGTCTGCTGACATGTAGTGGCTGATATCCTTGTAGGGAACATATGGTGGGAGGTGGTAGAGTCTGTTGCTTGTGCTCTATAGTGGAGCGAACAGTCGGCCGAGGACAATTGAAGACGAAGGTTTATGTATTTTAGAGTGATATGGCGGTGGAGGCGGACGGTTACCTAGCTTACTGTTTGCGCAGCAATCGTCAGGTTTTAAGTGCTCGGTGAAAATGGCTGGGACATGCGCCCTCCATTTCGTTTGCGAATGAAGGACAATGCAACCGCTGTAGATCTCGTGCCGTACGCGAACGTTCTGGCGCCTGCAGCTAGTTATCCGTCGTTCTGTCGTTTCTTAAGACTTCTTTTATCTTCCTCGATCAGAAACACTTGCAATGGGAAGGGCGATTGTTTCCTCCGCAGACGATCTCAAAAATACAATATAATTTCGCGATGTAAACCATGGAGTGGTGTTCGATGATCACTTGCTTTGTGGCGGTTTCTTCATCTGCATTGACTTCCTCTGTTTTCTGTACGACACTCAGTTCTCTATGGCTCTCTTCATGTATCGAATGTGCATCTCTTTAATGTGTAAAGTTTCGCTTCAATCCTGTGTTTTAGTTTTTCTCCGTGGAGCAGATCTGCTTACTGGTCGTCAATCATTCGTGGGCGCCAGTCGTCTCGCTGCTTATACCCGGAAAGCATACAAAAAGGTGTCAGGCGCTAAATAGTCTAGCAAGAAAACGTGGAACAATAAAGAACATCGGGCGGACGAGTCGAGCAAGAATGAAAACCTCGTGTAAGAGTGTACAAACTTGAGCTCCTATGGTAGTCGAATTAGGTACATTCCCCATTTGTTCCTACTATGGCAGCAATAATACATACAACTTCGTACAAGGTGATCAAATTAGGAAGAAAAAACGACAAAACGAACAATTTGCAGTTGAAAAATTCAATAATTGTATGTGGTATGGAAATTGCGAAACCTGAAAATGCTAACAACTCGACAGAGCTGCCATGATTTATAGTAACCTGTGGTAAACCTGCACGTACAGCCGTCCCATCCTCAGAAAATGTCGAGGGCCACAACGATATTCCAATCAGTCTCCAGCACGCCAGTGCCTCCCCCTCCCTAACCCCTAGAGAGGCCCACTGCCCCACTTCCCATGTTTTACTTCGTATAACGACCGACTGTTTTCTCTTCCCTTCACACCATGCTCCATGATCCAATATGGATGGTCACACTCTGCCTTCTTTGTGATACCTAGCATTCACTCTGATGTGACATACTCCTTGCTGATGCAGCCGTGTGCACCATCTCCTCTGAATCTTGACCTCGTTAAGCCATTCAAATTTAGTATAGAGCATCATTGTTTCTATTAAGAAATTTAGATATCGCTTTTGCGGAAATTAACGTGTATAACGTGTGCCGGCAGCAGCGCAAGAACCGTCTCACGGCATAATGAGAACTACAATTATAGAGTAAACGGAATTCTGGAGTAAAACTTGGTTGAAAAAGGAATGCCACAGGCTGGGAGCACACCAATCCAAAAACACACGGAACGCTTAAATCTCTTGCCAACGAAACTCCTCTCAACTGGATTTTTGCTAAAGCTGATTTGTTTTAATTATTAAATTGTTATTGGTACCGTTTTTTTATTTTTGTTTCTTGGTTAAAGAAAGTCCGCTTGAGTGGCTTTTTGGTAAAGCGGATTTGTTTTTTTTTGTTCTTTTGTTCTTGGTTCGTAATTGAACAGGATTTGTTTTATATTTCGTGGTCTTTCGTTTGACCCTTGCTGGAATCCTTGACTGAAGGCTGTGTGAATGAACGGTTATTTATTGGCCCCAAATCGGAAAACAAAAACACTATTCAATTTTGCTGCGCGAGCAAAATATTTCGAGTCTTACGAGAAGTCGTTTTTTGAGAGGCCAATATATAGGTCGATTAGGGAAGGTGATGGGAACATTATTCCCCATATTTGTGAGGAAAAAAATAAAATAACGAATCGAGTTTTCCACGTTTCCTTTCTTTTTCTTTTTTTCGTTTTTGGGCTCTGATATTCTTGTGACAGTTTATGACCCTTGCGCGAAAGTGAGTGTAGCGTTCCCAAAGATAAAAGTAGATCTGTTGGCACATCACCCGCTGAGAAACGTGCCCAGCTGAAATGGTTGGCAGTGACTCGCAGATTCCTGGAGTGCCTCTTCACCCAGTAACAGTCGCCAGGACGGCGTGAAATGAAAATCCCTGCCTAAGCTACGAGAGTGGCCTGGGGTCACTTGCCCGGCCGCGCCAAAACGAATTTAAAAATGAAAAATAAAAACACTCTTTAAATTTGATTTTAGACTTGGGTGAAGAATTTCGATGTGACCCTGAGGCAAAAGTTGTTTAGTTTATTTCTCTGCCGATCTGTTTTTTCCAGATTTTTTGGTTTTTTTTTTTTTTTTTTTTTTTTGTGCTGGGACCTTCCCTCCTTGCACGGGGTCGGCTGGTAGCCTTGATCCCAGCACTATTTTATACCTCCCCCACCCTCAGATCCTTCACACAAACCACATTGAGCCCCCATATGTCGCTTTATGCAACTTTCTCATCATGGGCCTAACTTGGGAAGGGAACGAGTTTCAGCTGTCGAAACCAAAAAAAGCAAACTCGTCCCATGCTCGCAAGGCAGTGGCAAGCCATACGAATGCTTGGTCTGATGTGGGTAAATTATAAAACTACCTCCGTGAGTTGAGCGTTTGCAGCTGCATGGCCTAAGATCTTGAACCGCCGGTACCTCTCCCAGCTATGGGTGGCGGGCTCTGCACGCCGAGTTTCGGTGGTGCATCTGGCCGACAGCGGAGGCCGCACCAAGTTAACTGGTGCGTTTCGGTAAATTGCTTGGGAAAGGTACTGGTGGCGTAACTATCTTTAGTTACAAGCCCTAAACCCTACACCCAGAACCTCATCCGATACTCGCCAAAAACAGAGGATTTTGTTTTTTGTTTTTTTAAACAGAGGAATTATGAAAAAGGATCCAGCGGCCTAACTCAGTTCAAGAGGTCGCGGGTTCAAACCCCATTGGCCTCATGTACCTTCCTGTGGGCATGCTTGGTGCACGCCACCTAGAGATAGACCCTAGGGATGCCCCGGATCGGCATTGAGCAGAGTCTGCTGATGTTCATAGGGGAGGGGACCACCACCTGAGGGGAGGCACAGGAATTGGTCCTGTTGGCATGATCCCTGATGCTACCGGCTGTCACCTTCCCCTAGCCGGTTTCGCTCACCTCCAGGTCGGGAGCAGCCCCCGCATGTTCTCTTGTGAACACGGTTCTGGCTGCTACAGTGAAATTTAGAGAACTTCTTTTCTTTCTTTTTTTTCTTTTTTTTAAAGAAAACTTGTGAAAACTGTCCTAGTAGCGTCATCGCACTGAATGACTAACTCCCCCTGTATGCCAGGTAATTTGACACTTCTATTTCTCCTTCCTGGCTGAACGGCCGTCGCCCTCTCATCATTGTTGAATGTAGAAAATATGGGTTGTTTAAGAATCGATAGTCGTCTGTCGCGTCGTGGTAGCGCCTTGTGCGTGGAAAAGCAACGACGAAACCCTCCTGAAGCGACCGACCTCGCTGAGCCTTTTTGGTAGGGGAGACGATGCTGAACCTGGTGAGGATAACGAAGCCGACACAAAAGCTTTCCGGTATAGAATAGCCAACGCAATTTCGTGGTCGGACGTTGCGTTCCCGATGTGGATCATGACCGATTGCGTATCACGGTCCGCCCAATCAGCACTAATTCGGGGGTGCCTACCTCGTAGGACGATGTGGTGGATAAATCCACTAGTTTCAGGGTCAGTAGCGGAACGTTCTGTAAGTTGAAGAAGGCTGTTTGTGAAAACAGCTGGAGATATCAGAAGTGAGAATGCTGACATGAGTAACAAAAAATCAGGTGAAAAACATGATCGCCGAAAGTTCAAGGGTTTCTGCGTTCAGTCAATCTACGCAGAGTGAATCGGTCCCTAAGGAAACCCCGAAAGGCGGCGCCGATGGGTACTAGAAAGTGACGAAATTTGAATTAAGCTAGCGCTACTGAACAAAACAAAATTGGATGATTGGACAGGGCCGCCATGAATATTCATTTGTTGTTTGTATGGTGTAGTCAAATGGTTGGAAAACAAAAACACAATTCTAAGCTTAAGACATTTAGGCCACTGGTCGGTGATTGCCTCCCTGTTGCAGATCTGAGTATTGATTCCAGTGTGATCATGTCAGCACCATCTTTCTGTGAGACTGACTCGTTTCACTACGGGCCCGATTGCGTCGTGTGGTATCTCTGCGGTAAGAGTCCTTGGATATGCAGAAATGGCTGGGATCTCTCTGATAGAGCCAACCCGACTACATGATTCTCAGAAAGTGTGTAGAATCTGGTCAATGGTTCCCAGACCAAACCAGGACGCGATCCTCCCATGCAGCTGGGTAGCAAGCTGGATTAATCAACTATGGGCCTCGTTAGACACTCCGTGGGGGCGTGAAATCCACGAGGACGGCGCTCGTTCCACCTGTCCTTGGGGACGAATTGAAAAAGAAGTGTGAAAACGCCACAAGGAAAGTTCCTTGTGGCATCCTTGTGGCCCCAGCCATTTCTTCCTTGTGCCCAAGGGACCAAGGAATCCGCGTTTCACGTAGAGGAGAGGGCACACGGGTAGATAGACGTTACAGCTGAGAATCTGGATCGTGGTGGCACCCTATTGGGTGAAGGCCTGAAGCACGACTGTGTTTTTTTCTTCCTGACATCAGGCTTAGGAAATGTCCTCGGCCCAAATTCCCTTACGAGCCACAAAGAAAATTCCTTGTGGCGCAAGGAACTCGTAAGGAGTGTCTAACGAGGCCCTATGGCTTATCCTTCAATGTATCAACTTCACAATGTAGCCAAAATATGCCATCGTCCTCCTTTCACAAGTGCAATGATATCTCATCCTTAGCTGCTTTTTGTCGATGTACTTCTGTGGGTGTTTGTCCACTCTCCTTCGTGGCATTGGTCAGGGGAGTGAGAAGGCATCTTTCTTGAGCCCATGGTAGTTGATCTGCGCATTGACATCGCGGTACCTCCTTGATGATTTCTTGTGTATGTCTTCACCAGTCCTTGGGAGATCCATTTGCTGCCCTCCACCGCCCTTGTACTCCCACCAGGCCGCCATCTCATTTACTTGTGTAATTACTGTGGCGGCAATGTGGCCATACCCAGACTAGTGAGGCAAGTGTGCCTGGTTGAGGGGCCTGGAGGACACCCGTGGTCCCAGGGCACTCCAGCTGGCCCCTCCAATTAGCTTCCTAGATAGGCTACCAGCCGGGCGCCCGGGTCACATCCTATTTTCCTGGGCGGCCCGGCCGTGCAAGGACCAGGGAAGGTCCCAGCCAAAAAAAAAAAAAAAAAAAGAAGAAAACCCTCCGAAAAAAAAAACTGTGTTATCCAGAAAATTAAACTGAACAACACTTGCCTCAGGGTCACATCGGAATTCTTTACCAAATTCAAAATAAAATTTTATATTATAAAATCATTTTTATT